AGTCAGCTAAAGACTCTGGTTTGATTAGAGCTTTGCCTATTAGGCAGTGGTAACGCTGAGAAACTATGAAGTTGAAACAGAGCCGAAGCGAGGAAGCGAGTATGGACCACAGAAGCGTAGAGGCTGCTAAACAACAGAAGGCTGAACAATCCGCTTCCCCTGAACCGCAATCAGCCACGTCTCCATCTCCGTTGTCTTCTCCAAATGTGGCAGAACGCCGGTCGAAAACAGACTGTACCTACGTGAATCAAACAGTACACACGGCAACGAAAATCAGGCACCATTCAAAACGTCTGGTTAAGCAAATTCCACTAGACCTGACATCTAGTATTAACAAGGATAAAGCAGCCAAACACCAACCCTTGGTACCTGTAGCTCAAATATCTCTTGTCGAGACTAAGCCTCCCAGAACATCGGTTACATATGTAGAGATTGCTGCAAGGGTCCACCGAGAGACCACCGTTGCGTCCTCTTCCATTGTAAACACCGTTAATGCAAATAAAGAGAAAAGCAGCAAACAATCACTTGTCAACAAGTCAGGACAAATGAGTACCATACCTTGTAGATCGACGAAAAAGGGATCCAACAACAGTGCCCGGATTGTTGTATGCTCAAATGTCCCTGAACCTACCACCATCACATTGCGGGATAAGTTATCAGACGACCAAGACCAATGGAACTCATTGTGTATGCAGATGAGTATCAAAGCCAAGCCCATAAACTTGTTACGAATTACTCGTCATCCGAACTCGCCACACTATGGTGAACCCAGACTTATTCGAGTAACTCTAGAATCCTCCACCGACGTAGAAAACGTTTTGCTCTCCGCAAGCGCGCTAAAACACGAATCCTGTGTGATACGTATCTATCCTGATGTCCCTTGGAGCGGGCGACAACCAAAACGAAACACCGAAGAGGGGCGCAGCAAGCAAGACCGCCTAAACACAATCTTCATACATGGCATGCCAGAACATCCTTCTAACGATGTTCAAGAGAACAGGAAGCACGATTTAGAACAGTGGCAGTTCATTCGTGAAAAACTTTCTTTGGATAATGTTGTGGCACTATCGCTCACTAGGATACCTCTCTCACCGAATTATAGAGGATGCGACCCTAGAATTCTAAAACTTATGGTTCAGTCAGAGCAACAAGCAAAGGATGTTTTGGATCGATGGCGGAGAAATCGGAAACATCTTCCTTCCGAAATTCGGTTAGAGGTCGCAAACAATTCGCACAGCTCAAATATTAAAGCAACTGAAGCAGCAAGCATACCGACGAATGTACAGAAGTGTAACTTGACTGCTGCCTTAATTGACTCTGAAGCAGATCTAAATGAAGGCTGGGACGCACCTTGGCCGAATCAAGTTGCAAACGAGGTATCATTGACTCATCAAAAAAAACGAATAACTGCCGACCTCCCATCGGTCGGCATTCTCCCACACTTGACAGCTCCACCTCTCTGCGGACTACTAGAGACCGAGAAACTGACCTGCTTGCATACAAATGCTCAGGGACTTTCTAACAAACTGGCTGAACTGAAAGATCGCCAAGCTTCCGGGTCGTATGATGTCATTGGCATCACCGAGACATGGTTACACACGGGAATGACGGACGCTGAAGTGTCGCTACCCGGCATGTCGCTGATCCGGAACGATAGGCTCACAAAAGGAGGAGGGGTAATCCTGTACTACCGAAACGACTTACAGTGCGAAGCCGTGGAGGATTCAGATTCGCAGTTCCCCGATTCTCTTTGGTGCAGGTTGCAGTGAAAAGGCAGGGACGCTTGCCTTATTATCTTGGTGTACCGCGCCCCTAACTCAACACCCGAAACCGACTACCACCTAATGGCTACTTTAAGGTGCAGTTTACAACAAAAGTACACTCACATTCTTATCAAGGGTGATTTCAACGTACATTGTTTAGAAGCCCCTGCCACAACCGGCGAACAATTCAAAATCGATTTACAAGATCTATTAACTACTGTTCCTCTTTACAACCACATCACTTTGCCCACTCGGTTCAGAACTGGTAACAGGCCATCTGTGCTAGTTCTTGTGCTTACCAACGAGGAGCATATGATTGATGCGTTGGTTTTAGACTGCCCGTTGGGTCGCAGTGATCACGCAGTCATCAGTTTCAACTTCGTCTGCTATGCAGAATATCGGAATGATAAAGATGATACTGTGCGAACCATCACAAGGTACGACCGACTGGCCCAGCTCGTCAGCGCCACAATATGGTCTTTCCTCGAAGAAGAACCCCCGGAAGTCGCCTGGCTCGAGTTCGTCAACACATTCAGTCAGCTGATTGCACAGGCGTCAGAGATAAAAGCTTGCAATAAGTGCAAATCCGTTTCTTTCGTTAGGAGCAGAACCCGAAAATGGATGACAGTACGCAACGCAGCATGGCGAGTGTACAGAGAAGCTCCAGCACCAGAAAATTGGGACAACTACGTAGCCCAACGTAACCACTGCACTCAACTGTTAAGAGAAGACAAAGCCGCCTATCAGCAGAACATCGCAAAAACCTTCAGTGCTAACCACAAACTGCTGTACAAGCACGTTAATAGCCTACGAAAGGTAAGGCAAGGATTTCCTCCACTCAAGACGGCTGATGGCCCAACAAGAACGTCTATGGAAGCTGCAAACGCGCTGCAGATGCAATACGCCCCCACGTTTCAAAGGGTCTTGCCACCAAGCGATCTACCAAGCTTTGTATTCTGCTCACCAGGACTAACCCACATCAATTTTACCGCAGAGGCTGTATTGCAAAAGCTGACTTCTCTACGCAAACACAGCTCGCCGGGTGTCGACGCCATTCGTCCAGAGGCATTGGGAGTAGCAGCAAACCAACTGGCAGGACATTTAGCTCAGTTTTTTCAGCACTGCTTAGACCGGAACCAAGTTCCCGCCATGTGGAAGCTTGGAATAATAAGTCCGATTCACAAAGGTGGAAGCAGATCTGATCCCTCCAACTACCGCCCAGTAGCCCTTCTTCCTATACTCTCCAAGGTCATGGAATCCATAGTTGCCGATGCACTGGTGTGCTATCTAAAAAACTGCAATCTCATCACTCCTGAACAGCACGGTTTCCGTCGACAGCGGTCATGTGCAGCGCATTTACTTATTGCACGCAGTAGTTGGACCGAGGCAGCCGACGCTGGAGAAGGTGTTGATGTGGTATACCTGGATTTTTCCAAGGCTTTCGATTGTCTAGACCATCGCATACTACTATCCAACCTGCAGCATTACGGGATCGGCGACCCTCTTTTAAGCTGGATCGCCAACTTTGTATTTCAACGGCAATTAGTGGTCAGAGTTTGGAGCTCTTTATCGGATCCCATACAAGTCGAGTGTGGTGTGCCGCAAGCCTCGGTTCTAGGTCCACGTTTGTTTTGGTGTTTATTAATGACCTTGCACAGGGAATCGCTTCAAACTTCTTAATGTTTGTCTACGATAGCAAGATCTGGCGCAGGATGCAGGCGAACGCCAACCAACATGTGCTTCAGAGTGATTTAGATACGGTGTATCAATGGTCGACCCAAAACTCATTGCATTTCAACGTCAGTAAATGCAAGGTGCTTTCCATCCGGCATCAAAACAGCTACTCATACCGACTCGGAACAGATGTACTGCAACAATCAACTCTTGAACATGACTTGGGTTTCCTGGTGCAAGATGACTTGGGTTGCTCCAGGCAATCCGAAAAGGCCTCGAAGACCGGGAACCAACACGTCGGGCTGTTGAGGCGGGCGTTTGGACAAATAAACAGCTCCATATTTCGACAAATGCTCAGTGCGTATGTTCGCCCCCATGTCGAATATGCAATTCAAGCCTGGCATCCCTGGCTGAAACACGACCTTAATGCAGTGGAGCAGCCACAACTTCGGACATCTAAGAACGTAATTGGAATGCGCAATCTTTCCTAACAGGAGAGGCTGCGAAGACTGGGATTGTTCAGTGGAAGCTATCGCAGACTACGGGGCGAGCTGATTATGGCATACTTGATTCTGTGAGACCCACATCATGTGTGCCGCCCTTTACTGCAACTCAGCAGCAATACAAACCTGACAGGCCACTCATTAAAACTCGCAGAACAATACAGTCGTCTGGAGTGTCGCAGAAATTTCTTTTCCATTCGTGTCTGTCACCCGTGGAATGCTCTCCCAGAATCGTGCGTCTCTGCACTGACACTAACAGTATTTAAAAGGCGGTTGGACGATGCACTCATCCACTTACACTTTGTTACTTAACACTACGTCTCCATCCTACACCTGGATTTCACCATGGAATTATTTGTTGTTAACTGTGGATGCTGTGAATCTAAGGGGATCGCAGGACTGCAGCGAAGCAAGCGATAAGTCCTTATTTTCATATTTAAAGTATTAACTATTTTACTATCCTTTTTATCATTATTGTTATGTTGATATCCCCACCAACTATCCAACGGGATTTGTATAGCAACGCTTCTTAACCCGTATAAATTCATTGTTCATTGAATCCCCATCAAAATCAGTTAAAGCAATGATGACTAGGTCAGAGAATAGTTAACGTAAGTTGAATAGAAAGTATCTATTGGTAGTAAGCGGAAAACATATAGCTACACATATGAAAATATCAAGGGTTTGAACGACATGAGCTGAGAGGTACAAGTAGACAGAGCCGAAGCCTGGTGGTTGCAGCCACTTTGCTTAATGCCTTAGGATGGGATTCCGAACTTCCAGCTACTGTGTAATTGGCACTGATGGAAGCTATACTTCCCTTTACCATCTAAACTACCCAATTACCATATGTGTTCACAGAAGATTACATTTTTATCGGCTATCGATCAAACTGTTCGTTCTTTTATACAAGAAACTTATTCCGTGTTCCACGTGTCAAGCATCGCATAGAGTTGCCGTTTCGATACGATGGTGGCTAGTGAATTTCACTTATTGAAGCTGTTATGAGAAACGAATTGCTAATGATTTTGAATTGGTGATCAGCAGTTTATCAACTTACTCGATTGGCCATGTCACTAACATGAGCGCTGAGCAAAGCCCATCGCTTTAGTGCCCGTTGACGAGAAGTAAACTGATCTCGAACGGATTTTGTTTTCTTCGTAGTCGTGTCGCTCAGACTCGGGGGAAATGCGTTTTTCACTTGATCCTCTACCTTGGCGATCTCAACAGCTGCGTTTTGCCTGTCGATGTATGAACCGATATCGTCTCCGTATTTACTTGTGTTCGCTGATTGCGGTCCCTCTTCCACATCCGACATTCCTTTCTCTGTACCTTGGTAGCTTTGAACGGCTTCACTGATGCTTGAATCATTAGATGTGGCGAGCCATTCATTTAAATCCAAATCAGATTCCACCTCCCTAGTATTTTCTGTTTCTATCTCCCTAGTGTGGCTTAAGGGAGATTCAGACTGCCTTTGCTGGGGGAGTTCATATAAAGGCAACCTGATCAAACTGTTTCCGGTAGGGTTTTGAATATCCCTTTGGCCCTCCTGTATGGTCACGGGAACAGACGTTTTCTCAGAATGAGTGGAAATGGGACCATTCTCCAAAACGTCCGGTTTTGTTGGCATAAAACGGTCATCATTCTGGTCCGACTCGGAATCAGCACCGGAACGGTCCGGAAGCGGTTTTGACTTGGCAATCTGTCCAGATTGTTCTGCCAAATCGCAGTATTTGTTCGCAGATAACATCCAAGTATCTTCTACTGTATCGGATAAATCGTCTTTTTTGTTCCCGATTTGGAAGGCGGATTCCGATGTTACTGCATCAACCTCTGAGAGGTAATCTTTCGTGCTAAGTGGCGTGTCTGAGGAAGAAATTGTAACCTGGCGGTCGATGGCGTTTTTATTTGTAGACACAGGAGTGAGAGTAATTTGTCCCTCCACACACTGATCCTTCGGAGCCGCGACTGTACCTAAGGCACTTTGTTGCAGCATCTCGCTACTGGAAAGCAACTGACCAAGGGGGATGAGATCGTCATCCTCGTTTGAAAGGTGGGGTTGCGTCGAGTTGGGTCCGGTTTTGTTGGAGGTTGCAGTTTTATCAATAGATTTACACTTTTGCTGATCTCGCCAGAGTTCTTTGCGGAAAACAGTATTAGGTTCATCGGAGGAGAGATGATTTACCTGGGGCACCATCCCGCTCTTCGACATCTCTTCTTTCGACTGAATATCTGTCGTACCGTAAACTTCCAACACCTTGTCCTTCAGCAAGGCCATCTCAAGACTTTCATCTTCTTCGCTTGTGCTGTCAACTAAGTCATCCAATATATCCGTTTCTTTAATAGGCAACATAGCTATCGTATCTGCCAGTCTCCAAGTTGAAGCCGCATTGTCAAAAAATCGATGAACTTCCTCGTGAGGACAAGTGCATCGGTCGACTGTATGGAAATTTTGCTGATACCAGACATTAGCGGGCCATATCCCTGGATCGGCACGGACATAGTTGCATGAACAATCTAGATGGCCTTCCAATTTAAACTTCTTCTGTTCATTCGCAAAATACTGCTCCGCAGTAGACGCCATGCCTGGCTGCAGGCACGCTGGCGATCGTAGAATCCGAGAACACACACTCTGTGTGGATCGCCTAGGCCCATGGGGATACCTTCTAGCAGGAACAGCAGGAGGTGGAGATTCTGATGAACGTAAGTGGTTTGACGTCGGCCATAGGGAGGCTAGCTTGCCATTACCGTGCACACGAAGTATAGTACGCACCAACGCCGACGGGGTGGCCGTGCTTCGAACTGTGTTTGGAGGCCGCTGGGTTGGGATATCCAGTAACGATGATGATGAATCATTTGGTGAAATGCTGTCCAGACGTTTTTGTGGATTTAACAACGCGGATGGTTGTTTAATTGGAGTCTGGGAAAGAATGCGACCGAAAGTATGAGCTTCTGAGTTTGGTAAATGCTGCTCGCAAGAGGAGTAAGATGGGTTTAAAGCGTCGTACGACGGCATGACCTCATGACAGCTGCCATCGGTGTTGAATCCTGTGGAATTGACAAGCAAGCCTGATTGCCGCATAGTATGATGGGAATATGGATGGCTGTCAACTGTCTGCATTAGCGTGCTCGGCCACAATGCCACCCCACCCGGACTGAAGGAAGTATGCATAGATTGTGGTGGGTATCTGGACGCCTGTCCGTCTGGTGACATTCGACGGGGTATCAATGTACGGCCACGGATAAAGGCTTCGGGTTGGTAGTTACTGTTGCACGAGAAGTTATCCAGGGAACCATCTTGGCGATAAGTTGGCAACCTGTGTCTTCCTGTATGCAAAGGGATACTGCTCAGCGGAAAACGAATGAGTTGGACCAACTCATCAGTGGTGTACCATGTCGGTGAATACTGTGTCACGTGACGAGGACTGTACGACATGTTACGGCGCAATCAACACATTGAATTCGACACAAGAAAGCGACAATTGCACACAAATTGATGCGGTGAGCGAAGATACGAGTAACTGACAGTGTCCATGTGCTAGTCATATCCGCATGTGAACCCAAATTTTTCAATTATGTTCTATTTATATGTGGGAGCTTTCGTTGTCAAGCCAGCATGAAAGAGTTGCGGCCCACTCAAATCTGTCTCTCACTACTTCGGCGAGAAAACACATGGGGTCGTAAAGATGCGATCGATTACTTCAGTTGTTCTAGGGAAGCAAACAACCCGGTATGTGAGATCATTCACAGCTACCATCAGTTCGTGCAGTGACAGCCAGAGCGTGAAACAGACAGATTGCTCTGCTGAATACTGCTCATTTCCGGGTCAGCTCATTGGTCGGTTTGAGTCCACCAATTGTGTGTGACGCTAAGGGGCATGTGAGATGGCCAGTTTGAGTACGTCTACGAGTAACGAATGATCACGAGGGCCGATGGTTCGAAGCGTTTTTAGACCTCTAGCGAGTGCTTTGGTCTGGTTTTTTCATGCGGGGAGTTCCGGTATCGTTGCTACAAAAAGTAGCGCTTTTAGCGGAATGACAACGTTGCATACAGAGACAATAAAGGTGTAAGCACATTTGTGAAACGATGGCTGTCCTCGCTAAGGGCGTTACCCAGAAGTACTTTCCAGTGTACGACGAAACATGAATGACCAATTCTGTTTCTGTTAATTGTAATCGTAGCGAGAAATTAGGAGGCTCACGCTCGCCAATGGAATCTTTCATCCACCGACCTAAAAAGACAATTTTTGTAGTTTTCTGCCACCGTGTGCAAGCGATCTTTTGTGATTAACTTATGTCACACATTTTGGTTCTTAGTAACACTTGACTTGTTAATTTGGATTATATTTACTCCATGCATGAAAACATGGGTCAATCCTTATCAAGAGAGCCGCATCTAGATGTATAGAAAAACTGTAGTGTATTGAAAAGTAATACTTGCTTATATTCAATCGAATATTGGGTAAGGGCAATTTATTTCCATCGTACACGAATGGGCTCTGAACGAAGCTAAAGCCTAAGATGCTTTTGCTTATGTTTTACTTTTTAAAATCTTTAACTAAACACCAAAATGACAGGCGATAAGTGGAAAGCACAGTCTCAGTGCACCCGCAGAAAAACCTTTTCTTCACCATAATGCAATGATTGCATGGTAGGAAAAAGACAGATTACCCGATGCCGTTACACCATTTCAAAATGCCAAGGAGACCCAAGCGTAGCATTTGCAATAACCGAGATATTTCTGTATTTCCATATCTTGGCCATAGTAAATCCAACTGTCAGAACAAGTTGTGACAAGTGGGTTGCAATTCCGCCAGTTTTAGAGGCATTTATCCCTAAAAGCTGCGTTCATTCAGGTGTTGTTGCTTCTAGCTTAAAAGCTTTCAGCTATCGACGTAAATCAGACTGGTATACTTTAATAGTAAATGAATGGTAAGCAACTTAACACGTGCTTGGAGATTATATTTGAGGATCAGGTGTGAATTTTCCATCTGTCCACTGCATTTTGAAACGAGTACCATAAGGCACATTAGCCTACTTGGCAGCCACCTTGCATCAGCACATTGTCTGCGCTCCTTATTGCCAGAAGATACCACTCTAATTCTCGATATACATTCTTGTGTGTACGTTTAGTAAGGCTACTTACTCAGTGTTAACCACCTTGTGAATCTAACTTGTGCGGACCATATTGTTGTCCCAGATCACAGTTGGAGCACATTTTTTGCCGAAACCAACACGAGTAACCGCATCACCCTTGACTTGTTCGGGAATACATTTGGTGTCACTTGAAGAAAGAAGTTGAGGACTATCCAAAGACTTTGTAAGCAGCACTGCCAACTGCAGTATAAAAGGCTACGGGACAGTTTATGTCGCCCACTTATTAGACATCACTGTGAAGCCAGTGCTTGCAATCGATCTCCTTAGTTCTCTGGCGCAACGTGAACCGGTCAGGCACGCTTTCGCGTTGGCGCATCCGTACGCATTGTCGAGACGAATGACCGCCGAATCCGGCAACCAACAAGCGGCCGTAGTGATGAGTCATCTGTTATGGAAAACGGACCTTCCTGTTGAAACAAAGAAGTAATACTTAACCCCAATTTCACCTGACCTTGTAGCGCCCTAAAAGATAACTGCTATCTTTCATGTACAATTTAATTGTTGACCAATTGTACATTACTCCTTCTTGTTTTAATCTTCCTTACATCCGGCCCGTCACTCGACAGCCTTGTAAGTTCCCGCGCGCACGTGTCCGCTCTCTTCTCGCTTCATCCGTCCGCTTCTTACTGTAGCCCATCGAATATAGTCCGCTGTGTCCGACTCCCATTGCCTTCTGATATCCGCGCTTAATTTCGCGCACCGTCTCGGACTAGTATTAACTAGTCCTACAACCCCATGAAGTTTATTGGTATATCCACTGTGGCTTAAAGCACCGTGGAGCGTGTAATAAGATGGTCAAGATAGGACCTCCATGTTTAAATGATGTCCTCATTTCCATTCTAAATGCGGAAACGTGACGTCAAGCAAGGTGCGTCTGTACAACAGTAAGCCAAGATTGATTTGGTTCCGCGTGAAGTGTAATACAATCCTAGTAGTTTAGATGGTAATTAACATCTCGAGAAGCATGAAAAGCTGGCAAAAATATTCCGGTAAGTATTAGAATCAAAACTAGTTCTAGCGGGAACAAGCATAGCAGAATGAAGTTTAAGTTCAAGTTCAAGTGGGACCGGAACAGTAGGATAAATCCCCGTGAATGTTCCTTCCGTGACGCTTCGTTGATCCAGGGTATTATTCGTCTGCGATAACTGGAACCCAGAAGAGTCAGATCAGCGCGCGGAATCACACCACGGTCAACCAATTAATACCCACGCGACCTGCACCGGCAGTCCCCGCCGCACCGCTCACGTGAAATAAGAAATAGAAGTACGAAAGTAATAATGATCCAAGCCTTTCCATGAACTGCACTAGAAGCAAAATCCGAAACATAGGGCGTTCCACTAACAGTGTGACTCCTTCAATCACAATAAGCAACCACCACTTCACCATTCCAGGTTGTCCAGCTGTTACGGAACTCTTCACTCATAGCCCGTTTGCAGCTACTTCTCCAAGCCTATTTTCTCTCATTTGGCCTCGCCGAAACTCAGGAAGCAAGTCAACACCAGTGGCAATTGGGCGGTAGTTACATCCAAGAGCATCCATTAGTCAGCAGTAGCCGTTTCTGCGAACATCCCAAGATTAGTGTGGGAGGCGATGCTGCACTGGTACGTAGCAGAGCGCACGGACTTGCAAAACACGACCCATACTCCTCCGAAGGTCACTCGAAAACTACGGGATGCCATATCTATAATATATGCTAACATTTCGGGATCAACGACAAAAGCAGTAAAAGAAAAATATATGGATAACGTGGGCTAAGACTAAAAGCAACCTGTTCATCAGTCTGACTAAACCAACCAACCTAACGAAAATTATTTTCTACCCTACTTCTAGGCACCACGGTGAAGTTAGGAATCCACGGGTTGTGTTGAACTCTGTCGATGAGGTGAAAGCTAGCTTTCTTTCGATAGATCGTCTTCGAAGAGAATCTTTTTTAGTCTGTGTCCCTCCAGACGTCCCGTGGAGCGAAAGTAAGCAGACGAAGCGTGACCTTAAAAAGTACCTCATGGAGATTGTGGCTAAGACCCACCTTGTCCACTATGTCCCCTGGTCTCATGCAGTAGACTAGTGGAAAGCAGAAGCTCACAACATAGAGCAGTGACGCCACACTCATGAGATCCTAAGCGTAGATAGCGTTGCATCTGTTTCCATAACATAGCTGCCTAGCTCAACAGACAAAATGGGTGCGGCCTAAGGATAATAAAGGTAGTGCTTTTAACCAGGCAATCGGCACTTGAGATATTGGAACACAGGTGTTCACTTCGGAGCAGACTACCAAACAAGTTATGGTTTGAAGCAGCGAAAAATATTGTCGATCGATCCAAAGTACCACCTCAGCAGGAAAACTATGGAAGGTCCCTATTTGAACCGTACTTTGTTAGTACGTCTGGAAAACTTGCAAACTTTATACACATTCCTGCAGTCACACCAGTACGCTGTGCAAAACACATTGCTGGAGGGGCCAAGCACGATGACGCGGAACTTAACTCTTGGTCAGTAAAAGATACACACAAAAATTGGATAGTATACTAACGCACTAAGCTCGGCACAGTATCGCACTCGAACCACATTTCATTCGATTCGCTGATAAGAACGGAAACTTTTCCGTACTTTATAGCAGTGCTAAATGCCATCACAGCTTTCCTGGAGAGCTTCGGCTGCAGTATGCAGTAAACACTTTGGACGCTTGTACTCAGAGATGACGGATGCAGTGGTGGCAGTTCAAATAATGTCCCTTTTTAAAACAATTGTCCCAGCAGTGGAGGTGGCGTAATTCTATACTGCCGCAGCGACTTCATTGTGAGCTAATTAATGATCGCGAGACGTGGGTCGCTGATTCTGTATGGTGCAGGTCGGGTCCAGCTATGACGATAAGTTCTTTGTGGCCGTCGTTTGTCCTCTCATTATCAAACTTAGAGATGGATTCCCGCCTAATTTTGATTTTGGTTAAAAGCAAAATTTAACTTACAGTGACGTTCTTATCTCAGAGCATTTTAATCTAGACGGCCTGGATGTCTTGGCATCCCCAGCGATGTATTCAGATCAGAAGTACAAGTAACTATCACAAGTACTCCACAGTAAAATCAAATCACCTTACCCGCCAGATACAGAATTAACAATAAAACATTGGTACTATACCTGGTACTCATGATCGACAGGCTAAGTATAGACAGCCGACTAGAAATAAGCGATCAGATTACCATACTTCATAACAAGCTGCGCTGCACGGAATACCTGAAGGAACACACTATATCAACGAGCACCACTACACGTTAGAACATCCTGACAGATCTATTTGGCATGACTGACTATTCTTCATGAAAGATGTCCCCTCTGACAGTACCAGGATACAATTTGTTGGACATTTCTTTAATCTGATCGTAACAGTTTCAGAAACCAAACGCGTTTGTCCTACTCAGCCATCTTTGTTCATCAGAACAACGGAAAATTTGTATAATACGCAAAATGCT